ACATCCCCATAGCTGCTTGGAATCCCCGGACTCTCTCGAAACCCCTCTGGGCTTGGGAGGCCGCGACCCCTTTGGTGTCTGTGAGAGAAAGAGCTCTTTGTACTTAGGAAGCACCAGCTTAGAAAAGGGGCCAAGCTCAGCCTCCCTAGCAGTGACACTGTACTTTCCACAGGGTGAAAGGACACCTTCCTGCACTTGTGGTGAGTGTCCTGGGCTGGGGGAGGCAAGTGGGGGAACCATGGGCACTGCCCAGCCTGGGCTGCCGAGCTTCCTGGGAGAGCCTGTGACTTTCCTCTCTGAATTTCCCCTAAGTGTGCTTCACCTGAGATGCCAGCTTTCCCAGCTCCTCCCTCCCAGCGTTACTACTAGTTTAATGCGACCTGGGAAAAGCTCCGAGCACTAGCTTGCTGAGGAACAGAGCCGGGATCCAGATTCGCTTTCATCCAGTCCTTTCCCTCGGGAATACTCTGGAATTTAAAGAAGAGCTTCCCGCCTGTGGAGCACAGTCCAGTGTCCCAGAACTTGAACTATACAGAGATTTGTACCTGAAGCTTGAATTTGCAGCAGGAGGGATTTGAGTCCCCCCGAGGTCTCTGCTGTCTTGGGGAGTGGCCGCGGTTGCTTACGCAAGTCCTGGCAGTGTTAAGCCAGTGTTCAGTCATATGCCGCCCAGGCGAAGTCATTCCAAATCCTTGTTTAGAGACTTTTTCAGGCTTCCAAACAAACATTTTCATCTGTTAGTACACTCAGCTGGACTTCCAACACGTTCTCCTCAACTTCCACAAGGGGTAGAGCCAGACTGGACACCTCATCTCACCAGGGCCCTGACTGAAGTGCAGGGGTGGGGATGTGGCCCTGACCGGTGGCATCCATTCTACCTGCAGACATCCAGTGCGATGGTGGCCTTGTCATGACCCAGAGGACTTGCTGATTCATTCAGGGAGTGTGATGAGCTGCCTGGGTATCCAGGTGGCCTGTTACCCGAAAGGCGCACCTAAGAGTTTATGTGAGAGGGCGAGGGAATGTCTGAGTCTCTGGAAATGTTGCTGAACAATATTATTTCATGGGAGTGAGTGGAGGAGTGGCTGGCATCCACCTCACTGTTGAAAAACATATTCCACAAATGGGAAGAGAGAGGACCAGGAGCCTCCTGGGGCTGTAGAGGGGAAGGATCCTGTGCACCCCACAGCAATTGCCACCATGGATTTATCTGCAGTCCCTGCTGGTCAGTGTTCACCTCTCTTGGCAGCGTGTTCCCTGACGATGCCCCAACAGGAGTGGCTGCCATCGGCACCTTGTCGGTCGGTTGTCTTTCGTGTCGCTGTGTCGCAGTGCACCGGGAATAATTGTGCCTCCTAGACCAGGAGCTCTTCAGGCCCGTCTCCTAGTGCAGTGCCTGCTACGTGATGAATGCGTGGTAAATGGAGCTGGCCTGGCACGCCTTTTCTCCTCACTTCTGCTTGTCCTGCTCCAGTGTCAGCACAGAAAACCAAACCAGTTGTAGAGACAATCTTATCTGCCCCCGAGGGAAGTGATCTGCCTCTGTCCTGTGTTTCTGTAGCAGTTAATATTTATTCCTAAGAGCTATCGTTTTCTCCGTTTAAATGTAGTTACTGATTTTGATTCTGACTTTCCAGATTGTAAACACCTTGAGAGCAGGGTCCTCTCTGCTTCATATTTTTGTTTTCCATGACTCACAAAACAATGCCTTGCACATAGTAGTCCTAGCATTCATACAGTTAGTGCGTGCAAGGCACTGTTCTTCATACTTCACATGTTCATTCTTTAATCCTCACAATGGCTTAACAGGTAACAACTGTGATGAGTACCTGTCTCCATTTCATAGGTAAGAGAAATGACGTTAAATAATTCGCTCAAGGTCTTATAATAGGAAGTGGAGGAGCTTGGATTCCATCCCAGGAGCACACTTCAGGGTCTAGACTTAACCGCTGCCTTGATGCTGCCCCTGGTTGGCATGGGCACGTAGAGGGTGTTGCATAAATACTGTTGAGTGCGTGCAGGTGGATATTTCTTAGTTACTTTGAACCAAGCAGCAGTTGAAGGCGATGCATTGTTGCTTTCATCTCTACCATCTGAGCTGCTTTCTAAGCAATGGGAAGGCCAGAAGGGGGTGCCAGAGGCTGGTTCTCCTTTCGCTTCCAGACGTCTGGATGGGTTGGCCTCCTGAAGGTTCGCGTTTGGAAGTCAACAGTGCCACCTTGTGGGACAGTTTGCTAATGTCAGCTCAGAATTCTTTTTCTGAACCCCTGGTAAATTGTCCTTGAGTTCTGGGATCCCCTTTATTAGCTTACCTTTACGTTTTGATTGCCAGAGAGAGGGGAGGGCAAGTAGGAAGAACCAGCCCGTTGTAGTTTATGTGAAGTCAGGTTTGGTCTCCCTCGTGACGAGGCCGTAACCTGGTCATTTGGGTTGGTTAAGCCCCGTGGGCTGGCTCCAGGCGCCCTCCCGTCTACTTCTCCCAGGTGCTGCTGTTGTAGGTGGTAGGAATGGCACTGGGTGTTAGTCCGGTGGGGTCACACTGGACCTGGGTTCAGCAACCTCTGTACTTAAGTCCTGGCTAGAAAAGAATTCAGAGCCAAGACCCGAACTATGAGAGAACATTTATTTGGTAAATCACAGAAGTAGAAGAAGTAATTCCTGGAAGAAATGGGCTTAGGAAACAAGCTATAGAGGCAAAGGAAGGGCCCTTGGAGCTTGGGAGTGAGGAAGCTAACGGTAAGGTGCCTGGGGGGGTGGGAGGGAAAGGGAAAGGCAAGGGCATGCTCCCGGGAGGGAGGGCGCTGGGTCCTCCATCCTAATGTTTCTAAGGGAGGAGATTTTAGGGGAGGTCCCAGGGGAAGATCCCAATAGAACATTCAGCAGCTTTCCAGGTGGGTCCTTTCAGGTTTGTGGTCTCCACTGATTGATCGGACTGATTGGTGGCACGGGGTGGGCGCATCATTCAGTGCAGCTGGTCCTGAGGTCAGCCGTGGCTGGTTTTGCTTCTTTTCTGGGTCTGGAGCTGAAGTACATTCGAGGCCTGGATGTTATCTCTAGGGACAAAAAGTCGGGTCCAAACCTCAGGACCAGGGATATGCTAGGGGAGGAGAGGCCACCCTGGGGGTGAGGTCTCACCCTGTGATTGTCCTTTGTTTGCACCCAGGGCTTTGCATCCTGCTGACCTTCTGTACCTGGCCCATGGTCCTTGCTCTGCTCGTGTCTGTCTAACTGCCCATCACGCAGCGGCCGTCTAGACTGCTGTCCCTCTCCCCACGCTCGCCTCGAGCTGTACCTGCCGTGGAACTTGGTTCCATCTTCTTTGGGTTGCCTTCTGTAGTATAACACGTACTCACGTTACATGGAAGAGGGGCCTCGAGGCGCGTAGCAGGTCACTCCCACTGTAAGAGGTCCCGTGGGTCAGCAACACAGCAGGGTAACTTTGTCACAGGGAGTTTGTGAAGGTCTGTGGGACCCGGCAGAGGGGGAATCACGAGCAGCCACTTCATAGTGAGCAAGGGGCGAACTGCTTCGTGTTAGCAAGTGAGGAGGAGGGGACTGTGCACACGCTTAGCTCCTGCCAAGCAGCCGAGGCTCTGTGTGTGGTCTGTTCTGGTTTCTGTGTTTGAAAATTTGATATAAACTGCTTCTAAGTTCATTTACTTCTTGCTAGAAGGACAGAACATAGTGTGTGGTTATAACTGTGGCCCCAGAAAATCGTGTTTCTTTGATTGGGAGGAAGGCGCTGGAGCAGGCGCCCGCCCTGTGGGGCCCTTCAGGCTGCAGTCTGCTGGGAGTGGGTCCGAGGACTAGACTCGAGCTCAGTGCATCCCGCTGTGGACAGTTCGGTCAGAACAAGGTGGCGGCTTTGCTGTTATGGAGCCTGGGTTATGGTGACACTTATGGTAATAGGAATTTATTATTAAGATCTTTGCGAGGCGGGGGTTTGCTAGCTTTTTCTGTAAGAGGAGAGGTGCTGAACATTCTGGGCTCCGTGGGCCTAAGGGGTCCACTGCTTACTCTGCCCTGAGAACGAAAGAGCAGCCAGGGGCGGTCTGTGGACGGGTGGGCTCACGGCTCGGCCAGCATGGTTCGGCTCTGCAGTTGAATTTCATGTAATTTTCAGGAAACTTTTTTTTCTGTTTCCTTCCCAACCGTTTTAAAAGGCAAACACTTCAAAGAACTAAGAAGGAGACAAAAAACCACCCAAAAGAGGCAAACACCATTCTTAGCTCCATGGGCTGCACAGAACAGGCTGCTCCACATCTGGCCTGGGGCCTGTAGGTTGGGGACCTCTGGTGAGATGCTTAGAGTAGATAATAACTAGCAATTAATAAAGGTATTTGTCCGTAAGCTGCATGTTTGGTTAGTGTCCTGAGGTGTGTGGACAGCTTTTCTTTGTCTTGAGTAAGATGAAGGACAGCTGAATCCCAGTAACTTTAATGTAAGCATCTTGAAAACTCTGAACTGAGCTCGGTAACCATCTTGCCTCCAGGGCTCTAAGGGGTGGACGGACTCCACCCGCCAACCCTTCCTTTCCCCTCAGCCTCCCAGCCTTCCCTGGAGGCAGAGAAGCGGGTCCCCTCCGCCCTTCTGGAATTCCCCCCCCCATACCTCTTCTGTGTGCCGTCTCCCCCACCGCCTACGCCAGGTCCTCCGGAGTCCGGTGAGGGGGAAGAAGGGCTTAGGGTCCTGTCCTAGGGATTAAGAGGCCCGTGCGGAGAATGCGGGAGGCAGTCGCTCGCTCAGATCACACAGCCAGGGCCGAAGGAGGTTAGGACCTGCCTCTTGAGCTCCAGGTGTGTTGAGCGGGGTTGTCACCAAGTTTGTGTCATTTCTCAGGTCCACTGATGTCAGCACACTCTCTGGGCAAACTTACACGGGGAACTTGTATTTCTAAAATGTTGTAACCCCCGTTTCTTTGTCAAGCTGAAGCTTAAACGACCTCCCGCAGGGTTGAGAAAGAAGCTGTCCCTTAACGGCCCTTTCCTGTGTCTCCGCAGCAGCCAGCAGAGCAGCCAGCAGAGCAGCCACGAGGATGATTCTGGCCGGTTCCTGAGTCCTCGGGTGCAGGACGGAAGGTGAGCCCAGGAAGAGGGAGAGGGCGCAGGGAGATGTGCCGGGGGACCGTGAGGAGACCTTGGCCCTGGTCTTCTTGAGGGAAAGCTTTCGATTAAGTGACAGTGTAGAAAAGAAAGCAAGGATTTATTGGCTGCAGCAAAACTGTACTTGGGACGGCGAAACAGGGCAGGGCACAGAAGCAGCAGGAGAGCCCGGGCCGGGCTGCTCTGGCTCACGGAGAAGTCGGGGAGATAGATGGGGCAGGTCCAGGGGTGATCCCGGGACGAGCTGCCGCTGCCCATTGCTACCCTGGTTTCAAGTCTCGTGGGGTCCCCGCACAGGGGAGGAGATGTCGCTGACATGCTCCCCTGGGGGTCCGGGGGGAGAGAGCGCCCTGGGATGTTCATTTTCAGGGGTTTTAAAGGCTGGGTGTTTAGGGGAGTCTCAGGGGGGGATCAGTAGAATACTCATCGGTTTTATGCTGATGTGTCCAAATGAGATTTATTCCCCTAACTTCACCTGTCCTTGGGTGTGGTTGACAAAGGGCGCTGATTGGATTTCTGCTGTCTCCCTGAGTAGGGTGATTTAAGCTATCTACCCTCTGGCTGGGGAGGAGAAATGCAAACCATTTACCTTTAGTGTCCTTGGCTTAGGGGAGATGGGACTTACTAGACGGCTGTAAACTGCTGTTGAACTGTCTGTCCTAGTTTCCCTGTTCCTTGTCCTGGAATTTTCCCAGCTTCATACTGTACTATAACAAAGAGATTGTAGGGATGGGGCGAAATGGAGTAAGATTGCGCTTCCACCATGAGCGAGAGCTGTGGGTAACTGAAGTAGGAGACGCCAGACCTCTGTACTCAGGGATGGCTGGACAGACAGGCTCACCGGGAGGCGAGGGAACACCGGGAAGGGGCTGGGCCCAGGCTTCTGGGCTCCCTGGGGGAGAAGTCACCCAGACGTGTGGGAGGCCGTCAGAGGGAGCTGGGACTTGAGGCACACTCTGAAGGTTGGGTCAGTGTGCTGGGAGTGGAAGGTGTCTTGTGGATTGTGGGTGTCAGAGGTTGATGGAGAGTGGGCTGGGGGTGCGGGGTGCAGTGGGAAGAGGTTCCGAAGCGCTCAGCTGAAGATGTGAGGTGATTCGCTAAAGCTCAGGCTGAGGGCCAGCCAGCCCCTGCCCAGGTGGTGCCCGTGGGCCACAGGGGAGGGCTGTGTCCAAGCGGAACTGTGCCCACTTGGACACAGTTGATGTTACATGAAAAGAGGCCTCCGCTGGCATTCCGCAGGGCTCTGCCTCTCGTCCAGCTCCGATGACCATGTTTATCAACAAGCTGGAGGAAAAAGTAGAAGGTACTTTTACTTCAATTTGTCAAACTTACGGCAGACACACAGCTGCGAGGGAACAGAAACACCCAGATTACAGAATCAAGATTTAGTATTATTTCAAATAGAACTATGGGTAGAAACACGGAGACTTTTCTGTTTAAAGTAAATGTGTTATTATATATTTATATTTATATGGCACATTTATGAATTTATATTAGAATAAATAGTTTATTAAATGTAGGATTATCACAGGGAGCCAACATAGTAGCCAGCAGTTTTGACAGGATTCTATGTGGAACAGAATTTGTGGGGTTTTTTACCAGACCAATGTGAGCCAATAATAGACACAAGTACCAAATGATCGTTGAAAGTCTGGATTTGTTGATGGAAGCATGGAGGCAGGGATTAAAAAGAAAAGTTTCACTGTGGTTTCCTAGTGTGACAATGTCTGTTATATCCATTTGAAAACAGATACTGATAAATTAGAGCCCAGGAAAAAGTAATGCAGGTGATAACTGTATCTTATAAGTGTCGGTTGAAGGAAAGGAGTTTAGGAAACGAGAAGGTTTAGGGCACCTGTAAGAGCACTTATTAAGTATCTGGAAGCCTAAGGAATGTAACCAGAGGGGAGAAGCTACAGCAGGGTATCAGCTCAGGAAGAACTCTCCTGGGTTAGCGGAGACCTGCCCGCAGCGGAACAGGCCTTGCAGGGGAGTGAGCCTCCCCTTCACGCAGTGTTCGAGCAGAAGCTACATGGTGTGTCTTGGAAAGGATTCGTCCTGGGCCAGCGGTGGGACCTCTGTAACCCTGATCTCTTCAGATTATAATGTTTTGTGAGTTCTGCCCTAGTTCTCAGTTGTTTTATGTTCATTATTAACTGAAATTAACAGTTCAGCTCATCAATTTAGGCAGACGGTATATGGAGGCGCGGGGCCCCCGAGGAGCAAGGGCTGCCATTCCTGTTAAGACACTTAATCAGTTGTGATCCTATGGCAGTCCCCTCAGCCTCTAGAAAGGCCTACGTTCTCTTTTGAAAGTTTTATGGGTTTCGGCAGCCATGCTCCCCAAATCGGAAGGGGCCGTAGAGTTCCCCAGCGCCGCCCCCTTCCCTGTGTTGGTCTCCTAGGGGTACCCTCCATTTCCAATCGGGACGTCTTCAGTTGCTCCTGTCAGCTCTTTGGTTGACCAAGGCAACTGCGTGTATTTTCTCTCTGCTGCTTGATGCATTCCCGGGAGAGCAAGTGCTGACTTGCGCCTTTCCCAAGGCACTTGACCTGACTCAGGACGCTCGCTGCCAGCACATTAGAGAGCCCTGCCTTTGGTTCCCTATTTGGGATTATGTGGTCATATAAATTCTGTTCTGGCTCCTTCTCTGCCCACTCCTCTAACCAATTCAGCTGTTACAGAGGGTCCCCCATCTAAAACCTCTGCCAAGGAAAATCTCTAGGTGTTTCCTTGCCCTTTCTTCCCGTGCCTGGCTCACTGAGAGCTCCCTACCCTCTTTCTGGGGGACAGTGGATGTGGCTTTGTTCCCCTTGGCAGTATGGGAAACAGGGCTGTGAGCGGAAGTGTGCTCCCCATGGCGGTCCCTGCGGACCCCTCCCAGAGACTCAGGAGGGTATGTGTGCACCTTGGCCTTTCTGAGTGAAGCCTTTTTCCCTTCTCAGCCCATGGGTTCTCTCAGAGAGAGCAAGTCCCCGGAGCACCAATTAATCGCCCAGCTTCAGCTCAGAGCAAACCATACACCCTGCCCCTAATCTTTTCTCTAACATGTTTCCACCCAATTAAGAGACTCTCTGGGACAGCTCAGACGTTGGTCTGTGACGCCCTGGCCTGGGCAGGTGTGAGACGGGAGATTTCCGCAGTGATGGGGTCTGGCTCAGGCCCCTTGCTCCGGGCCTCTGGGCACTGTGGGCACTGTGCCATGCTGGTTTCAGTGGCGTTTCCTACATCTCATGTACCCTTTGCCACTCCCCTGGGAGGCAGGTAGGGCAGGTGTTATTGTCACGGATTGAAAATGGTCAAGTATGAGGCAGGTAATAGGGTCCCTTTTCAGTGGCTGCTCCTAATTCTGCAAACCATGTGGTAAGTTATAAGACGAAGGATAGTTTCACAGATCAGGCCAAAGAAAAGTAAAATTTATTTTTTTTCTCTTTTAAAAATCAAAATTTTAATCTTTCAGTGTGAGATGTACTTTAACATTGATTTTTCTTTTTCCTGTACAAGGGTCAGAATGGATATAATGTTTAGAGACAATCGCTACCCTACCGTAGTCTAAGAATGTCCGCATTACAGCAAAGGGGAGCAGGCTCCGCGTGGTGTCCACACCTAGGGCGCCTGAGAACCTGTCCCGCACTCACATCAGTTTCTGTCCTGAAGGGAAAAGGCTTTGGAGCCGAGGGGGGGGCAGAGGGTGGGTGTGAGGGAGGGAGTTGCTTCCTGAGCCGGTGTGCGTCGGGGAAGGGTTGATTTCAGGAAATAATGAATTTATGGGATTTGGGGGATTGTCTCAGAGTTAGAAATACCCCTCCCCCCCAGGTTTTAAGTAGAAAACAAAACGGATCTAACTTCCTAAGGTATGTGTATGTGTGTGTAATGGAATATGGGACATTAATCCATTTTTATATTTCTAGATAAAGTCAGGGGTACATGTAAAAAACACTTGTTCCCAGATTCAGCCCAAACTGGACCAATCGTTNGTGTGTAATGGAATATGGGACATTAATCCATTTTTATATTTCTAGATAAAGTCAGGGGTACATGTAAAAAACACTTGTTCCCAGATTCAGCCCAAACTGGATCAATCGTTAGGGTTTCTCGGGTTGCCAGATTTTTATTTAGTATATTCACCCAGTGGCAGAAGCTTTTGAACAAAGCTGGACTGTAGGAAAAGGAGCTGTTTTATCGGGACATTTATGTGGCGGTGTTCGTTTCACAGGCCACGGGCGCCATGAGTCGGGAAGCCTGTTAGGTACAGGAAAGTGCGGCGCGGGGTGCGGGTGCAGGCGGGGCCATTCCCGCGTTCACCCCACAGCCTGTGCGCCCACCGGGAGCCTGCTGGGGCCTGGGCTGCAGGAGGGCAGAGGCTCACTGCCCTGCGGCTCTGTGGTGGATCGGAAAGAGCAAAAGAGAGCCTTCGAGTCAGACTGACTTAGCTTTGACTACCTTCTTTCTTACTGCGCGTTTTAAAAGGCAACTTACTCGGCCTTCCTCAACTCTATAGGTCCCTCGTTTGTTGGAACCTTTTATTGTAAATAAATGAGACAACATGTGTGCCTGGCAGCTGCTAGTCCTCTGGTGGTTTTGGTGTCATGAGATTTACTCTGTTTCTTAGCAGATCTGTACTCTCTGTCCTTGAAGCAGCAGAGACGGAAAGAACGTATAGAATACCAAGACCTGCGAAATGCCTCATATAGATACTAAGGATAAAGAGGTTAAGGCATGGTGTTTCTCCTCCAAGCCCTGCTTCCTTATGGTGAGGCATCCCTGTAAGCAAGCAAGTGAAATGCAGTGTAATAATTGACATATGGAATTAATACAACTGAGAAATTGGTTTACTAATGTACTTAATAGGCCTATTCAATGAATCTTGCACACTTTTTTTTAAATGCTCACCCGAGGATATGGTTTTTTATTGATTTTTTAGAGAGAGAGAGGAAGGGAGAGAGAGAAGGAAACATCCATATGAAGGAGAAGC